CTCTGTTAATGCAGCCTAGCACTGTGTTGGCTTTTTTGGCAGCTGCAGCACACTGCTGGCTCATATTTAAATGATTGTCCACTAGGACTCCGAGATCCCTCTCACAGTTACTACTATTGAGCAAGGTACCCCCTATACTATACCTGTACATTTGGTTTTTCTTGCCTAAATGTAGAACCTTATTTTTTTCACCATTGAATTTCATTTTGTTAGATAGCGCCCAGTGTTCAAGTCTGTCCAGATCCTCCTGTATCCTAAGCCTGTCTTCTGGAGTGTTGGCTATTCCTGCCAGCTTGGTATCATCTGCAAATTTGATGAGTTCCCCATCTATCCCCTCGTCCAGATCATTGATGAAGATGTTGAAGAGCACTGGGCCCAGAACAGAGCCCTGGGGCACCCCACTACACACTTCCCTCCATGTAGATGCGGTTCCATTGAGGACTACACGCTGAGTACGGCCGGTCAGCCAGCTACGGATCCATCTGGTGGTGATGCTGTCTAACCCGCATTTTTCTATCTTCTCAAGTAGTAGGTTGTGGTCTACTTTGTCAAATGCCTTACTGAAGTCCAAGTAAATTATATGCACAGCATTCCTCTGGTCCACTAATTTTGTCACTTGGTCAAAGAATGCAATAAGATTTGTCTGGCATGATCTGTTTTTGACAAACCCGTGTTGATTTTTAGTAATGACTTTGTTTGCCTCTAGGTGTTCGCTGATTTGTTGTTTGATTATCTTTTCCAGAATCTTCCCAGGTATTGAGGTCAGGCTGATAGGTCTGTAATTTCCTGGGTCCTTTTTTCCCCTTTTTTGAAGATGGGAACTACATCAGCTCTTTTCCAGTCCTCTGGTAGTTCCCCAGTGCTCCAGGATCTCTGAAAAATATAGTTCAGTGGTTCTGAGATTACATCTGCCAGTTCCTAGACTCTAGAAAGAGTACAGAGAAGAGCAACAAAGATGATTAGGGGACTGGAGGCTAAAACATACAAGGAACGATTGCTGGAATTGGTTATGTCTAGTTTAATGAAGAGAAGGACGAGGGGGGACATGATATCTCAAGGGTTGCCACAAAGAAGTCAAGCTATTCTCCAAAGCACCTGAAGGCAAGACAAGAAGCAATGGGTAGAAACTAACCGAAGAGAGAAGCAACCTAAAACTAAGGAGAAACTTCCTGACAGTTAGAACAATTAATCAGTGGAACAACCTGCCTCCAGAAGCTGTGAATGCTCCAACACTGGAAGTCTTTAAGAAGAGATTGGATAGCCATTTGTCTGAAATGGTATAGGGTTTTTTGCCTGAGCAGGGGGTTGGACTAGATGACCTCCAAGGTCACTTCCAACTTTGTTGTTGTTGTTGTTGTTGTTATTATTATTATCATCATCATCTGGGTGAAAGTGTTGTGGTCAGATGAGACCAGAATCGAACTCTTTGGCATCAACTCAACTCGCCGTGTTTGAAGGAGGATGAATGCTGCCTATGACCCCAAAAATACCATCCGCACCGTCAAACATGGAGGTGGAAACATGGTTTGTGGGTGTTTTTCTGCTAAGGGGACAGGACAACTTCACCACATCAAAGGGATGATGGACGGGGCAATGTACCATCAAATCTTGGGTGAGAACCTCCTTCCCTCAGCCAGGGCATTGAAAATGGGTCGTGGATGGGTATTTCAGCATGAGAATGACCTAAAGCATACGGCCAAGGCAACAAAGGAGTGGCTCAAGAAGAAGCACATTAAGGTCCTGGAGTGGCCTAGCCATTCTCCAGACTTTAATTCCATGGAAAATATGTGGAGGGAGCTGAAGGGTCGAGCTGCCAAATGTCAGCCTCGAAACTTTAATACTTGGAGAGGATCTGCAAAGAGGAGTGGGACAAAATCCCTCCTGAGATTTGTGCAAACCTAGTGGCCAACTATAAGAAACGTCTGACCTTTGTGACTACCAACAAGGGTTTTGCCACTAAGTACTAAGTCATGTTTTGCGAAGGGGTCAAATACTTATTTCATTCATTAAAATGCAAATCAATTTATAACTTTATTGAAATGTGTTTTTCTGGATTTTTTTTGTTATTCTGTCTCTTATTGTTAAAATAAACATACTGTTACAATTATAGACTGATCATTTCTTTGTCAGTGGGTAAAGAAATCAGCAGGGGATCAAATAATTTTCCCCTCACTGTATATTATAATTATTTATGTAAAACCTTCCGTGCTAACAGGATTTTGAAAATGAAATATTTAAACTATTTTTCATTTATACAGTGATACTATACAGGTGGTCCTCATTTAACAACCACTCATTCCACAACCATTTGAACTTAAAATGGCATTGAACAAGTGGTAGTTATAACTATAACTCCTACTTATAGCTGTCACAATGACCCTGCAGTCATCTGATTATGATCTGGGTGCTCCAGGCTGGCTCTGATTATCATATTGCAGCATCCCCCAGTCGCGTGTTCACAATTTGTGACCTTTCTTGCCAGTTTCTGACAAGCAAAGTCAATGAGGAAGCTGGCAGGAAGTCACTAGTTGTGACCACATAGGTCTTTGCTTAATGATGGTTACTGGGACTGCCCAAACTCCTATGGCTATGTAGACAAGATAAATCCTTACAGTACTATATAAGTCAATTCCGCAGATGTCTTTATATCAGTGTTTTCACATTTTGAATTTAAATAGAACTCTTTATCAGATCAAGAAATACATCCTAGGATGCAGTCAGTTTGCAGTAGCACTGGCCAAGTTATTGGTCTTTTCATTGGCCTGCTTAAAACTGAATATATTTCAGAAGATAAACTTTAATTCCACCTTGTAAAGAAGAGAAAGAAGTTGTCTTTCATGGAATTTGGATTATTGTAGTTTATCACTGATGAATTCATAAACTTCACAAGAATACCAAAATTCATCAGGAAATTCCTCTACAATAAAAAGTACATACTTTAGCCACTATATTTCTAATTTAAGTTTGTCTTCATCTATCTTACCTTATGTGTTACACTTTTTGAACATGTCCATAAAAGCAGCATAGAAAGTATAAATAAATCAGCCATTCTTTAATAAAGAATGTTGGGCATTAGGAGCCAAACAATACTCCTGCATTTTGGCCTGATTCCCATGTCTGCATGGTATATTTTGTGTGCTCAGTTGTGTATGTGCTTGGCTTTGTGCATTTAGGCGGTTAGTAACAGGCTGCTGTTGCAGAGGGAAGCGACCCCTTTGGCAGGCCAACCACAGCCCCCACCACCACCTCCTAAGTGGCCTGGAATGATCTCAAGTGAACAGCTGAGCTTGGAGCTGCACCAGGTGGAGAGGGAAATCGGGAAGAGAACCCGGGAACTAAGCATGGTGAGTGTTTTGTAAGGTGGGCAGAGAAGCTGCTGCTGCTGCTGCTTGGTGAGTTGCAGTGTTAACTGCTCTCGCCATTTCTGAACAAGAGTCATTTATTTTGAATATTCAGTGCTGGTAGCTTATAGGTTTTTGTTTTTCTACAAATGTAATTTTGCAACCTATCACAATTGAATATTGGCAAACACTCAAATTACAGCAAATAATCCATCCTCTTAAGTATCTGATGCACACTATATTACAATCTGCACACAATACTTTTTAAATGGTATTTGAAAAGGGGACAGTGGTTTTTCCAGCCCATGGCGATAGACTTCCTTGGTCTCTGCTGCTTGCACATGTGTTGGAAAGCTTTCTAGCCTGGTAAAATAAAACAGCTTGGCCTAGGATTATGTTCCTTTGTTTGTAGCTTTTGTGTGAGTATGGATGTAGAGCTTGGCTTGGTGCTTCACAATTTCTTCCCACTTGTAAAGCAAGTTTACAATACGTTGTGAACCATGCATTTGTCTTTCCTTTCCCAAGGAGAGCCAGTCTTCATTGGATGTGAAAAACAAAGCAAATGCTAGTAAACAGACTGAAAATGGACAGCAAGGCAAAGTACCACCTGAGGATCTTTCTCTAACATTCAGGTAATAAGAATTATTTTTATTGGTAATTTAATTCAAACTTAAATATTACATTGGGCACAGTTATTTTCATTTTATGTATTGACATTGTTTTACTTCATTTGCCAGTATTTAAAATTCAGTGTTTTCTGAATGGCAGTAGTCAGGGACATACAACACATGTCTGACATTCTCAGTAGGCGCTTCTTTCAGTGATAGTGCTGGTTCCTTCCAAAGACGTTCTCCAAACCAATGCTGGCAGTCAACCAGCACAGCAATCTTAGAATATTACTGTCTGTAGCACTTTTGACAGTGCAATCATCTAGAACTGGCTTAATTTTTACAGAATTCCTAGACTGAGCCAAAAAAAGCTTGATACACATCAGAACATGCTCATCATGCCAACTTTGATAAACACTGTTTTTGCAGTGGTGGAAAGGAAATTAAAAAAAAAAAATTCTTGAGGTAACAATGTGTCAAAGGTATATCAGTCAGTCTTTATTACAGCCACAGACCAGCGAATAAAAGCATTAAAACAATAATAATAGTAACAAATAAAAATAAATGACAAGCAGAATAATATATTGTGATTGGTGGTGGATTAACAATGAGCAATTAGTTTGTCCAATTTTACATGCAGCACAGCAGAACTTGGCCACATTCAGAGAAACTGCTTTATACTGATCTGATAACAGTATTTGCCTGTTTTAAAAAATCAGTATTTCCTGGATATTTTATTAGATAAGGTATTATAAATTGAGCCTGTGAGTCCTTATAGAAAATGCACTATAGCAGGACGTGAGTGTTCACAGGGGCAGAGTCTCACCTCATATGGTATTTTTTGTATCAGCCCTCCAAAACTGCTGTGGGAAGTGCGTTGCAACATGCTAAGGTTAATGCCTTCAGATTTTTGGGATACTTATTTGATATAAATATTTCGCTGCTTTAAATGAGGCGGTTTGACAGCTCAGAAAACATTCTTGAAAAGAGCAGTCCAATCTTGTTGGATTTCCAGATCTTTAAGTGTGCTAAGTGCACACTCATACCCCATTGGTCAAAGATATATATTATATTTCCTTGGCCCAATTATTGCTTCTGTTCATGCTTACTAGGATAATGTGTTAGAGACAGAGTTCTAACAAACTATCTTACTTATACTTGTGGGATGCCCCAAATGGTGATCGGGATGTCCAAGTATTGTAGGTGCAACTTTTTGTGGTTAATGAAGAATGTGAATTTAAATAAGCAAACCCACAAACTACAAGCAGAACCCTTTGAAAATATATTCTCTATCTATATATCTTCTCAGTTTTGATGGTTTATTATTCTCCAGACACATAATCTTGTTTCATGGTCCAAATAGCCAGGCCTGGAGGAAAAATTAGAAATTATAGATTAGCAGTTTAGAATTGATCTGAAGATGGAGATAATAGACTGAGTGAATAAATCATAGGCAGGTATTATGAACATTAGATTATTCCTAGTGGAGTGCAGAAATAAAGTGATTTTTTAAAAATATTAGTAACATTAGAGATTAATTTTTGCTTCGGGTTTAGTGTCATACCGATGCTGTTATATACTAATTCAGAGGGCCATCTGAAATAGCTTAGTTATATTCAGTGTCTTTGCTCAACGTTAATCTTTTTTCTTTTTTTTCTTCTACTCCTTCATTGTCTCTTTTCCTTTTTGACACTTATTACTCAACAGTGATCTTCCAAATGGATCTGCCCCAACCCAAGAACTTATAGGCCTTCTGTCAAACAAAACTACAGCTCTGAACTTGTCAGAGGACACCGACGCAGGAGCAGGTGACCAGGATACCCAGAGAACTGGAGCAACACCCACCTCTGCTCCTTGAAGGAACAAGACTATTCCCTCCACTTCTGTCGGGGGTCACCTTTTCCCATCCTTGGATTGATGAAAGACGCTGAGCAAAGGTCTTCAACAATAGCAAGTCTGAGACAATGTGCACAACACCACTACTAGGAACAAACCCTGCACATAGTTCACATTAACACATTTTTTAATTAAAAAATGAAAATTAGCAGTATCTGCAAACAACTCAAATTAAATTTGTTTTTGTTCTGTGAATGAACTTTACTTTAATAACTTTGGATGCCTTGAATGCCAGGGCTTTAAAAGAAACAGATATTATGTGTGTGTGTGTGTGTGTGTGTGTGTGTGTGTGTGTGTGTGTGTGTGTGTGTGTATATATATATATATATATATATATATATATATATGTGTGTGTGTGTGTGTGTGTGTGTGTGTGTGTGTATGTACACACACACATTTTACACACACACACACACATACTTTGATTAATTGTATGATCTAATGGGATAGGCTTTCTGTTTTATTTTGGTATTATTACATACCCAGTGTATCTTTAACTTTTCTAGATATTGTTCATTCTCCCGCCAGAACAAGCTCATTCACCATTTCTTTTTGTTTTAAAAATAAGGAATTGAGATGGAGGAGAACTGTCTAAACTGTCGCAAATCTGTACCTCTCTTACAGATATTGTCGTAACTTTTGTTAATTTAAGATTGTGAAGGATTTACCATTGCATTAGAAACCAAACTTTTTATTGGACACTGAAAAGTTCAAGGAGTAGCAGTAGTTATTCCATCTTAAAAGTGAATAGAAATGTGCTGCCCTGCATTCATTATAAACTGGCTAAGAAGCATTGATTATGGCATTTGTGACATAGAGCATAAGTGTTTCATTTGTATAAGTAAACTTTAAAAAACTCCTCAGAACTGGATTAAAGCAGAATCTGGAAACTGGTATAAAATGACTTCAGATGGGATAAAGATGCAAAGATTAGTATCGTAAATATGGGTCTTCCAGCTTCTTTCACATGTGTGAACTACAATTTCTGTATTATCTAGATCCTTGGGGGGCAGGCAGGTACATTAGATGATTCTCTGATGCAAGAGAATTTTGGAATCTGCCTGAGGTGATAAATTCTATTTTAAACATGATGGGGAACATAAAATTGGTTGTAACAATATTCTCCTTCCTGTTTATTTTGCATCCAAAGTGAGTAATACCATGATTGGTCAGCATTGTCTTTCATGGCAAAACTGAGTCTTTGAAACTCAAGAGTTTTGATTTTAATAAAATGGTTCCAAAGAAATTAAATCATGTTAATTTCAGCAAGTCCATTACAGAAGCAGCACCGTTTCAAGCGTGTATGAAATGAAAAGACTTCCTAGCTCTGCAAATGCAAGTTCGTTTATCACATTTCTTAAAATGCACAGATGTGGTCATATCCACACTGTATGCAAATTTGACTTTGGTCCTCCTCTCTCCATTTTACTGGCATTGAGTAAGGTGTATAAGTGGAAAATCTGGAAGAAAATTCTTGCATCCTTTCTCTGTAAATTACATTTTAAAATTTCAGAATGCACTGGCTATGTAATAAGTTGAAGCATTGCTTTGGTTGGGTAAAAGCAAATGTTTATTAATCTTGTTTTAGATTACTTTTCAACACATCCTTTTATGTCCATTTTATTCTTAAATAAAAATGTTGTGAGCATACAGGCCCCCTGTTGCCTACCAGTAGGAAGAGTCAAAATAGAGACATTTACAAGTACTGATTATTTAATATAGTTACCAAGTCAAGGTGTTGCTTTTTTACATTATTTCACAACCTGGCTGGCTAAAAAACGACTGCCCGTATTGCCTTGGGATTTGAGCATTCATTTAAAGAAAAAACTAAATTATGTACACATGTGTATACTTAGACATAAGCACATGCATGCACACATTCATATTTTTGTCTGTGTGTGTATGATCTTTAAGGATATTTTCTCACGATTACCGCTATTTTATAACATCCAGGACTTGGAAGCATTCTGTATGTGGTGTGTCTTTATGTATGTATGTATGTATATACATACACACACACATCCCTCTCCCTCTCCCTCTCTCTTTTAAAAGATATTTTAATTCTCTTTTCTTTGATTTATTTAATTCTGTATCAAAAATCACTTGATATCATACAGAACTTTCTCTTCTTTTCATATTTTCACCCAGTCTTTCGCTTAGAAGAAAGTGGAAGAAAAACTCTGCTTTTCTTTAGGTTCTCACCTAATGTTCTTTATGTACTCTGTTATATATTTCCTGTCTTTCTTTCTGAAGTAAACTAATGTCATGGCATAATTAAAGAAAGTTTGCTTATATAAATTATTTTTCTTGCCATGTCTACAATATAAGAAATCTTTTTAGTGAATCAGGTACACTATTCCCAATATAAGGCCATTCTTAAACGTGTTTTCTTCCAAAGAAATCCAACTTGGAATAACAGAAAAATTGGCTTCCATCTAGATATGCCAAGCAGACTTGTTTCATACAGGATGTTTTCTGGCTAAAGAGATGGAAGACTGAACATTTTTCATACATTTAACTTTATATGTATCAAAGATAAGTATGGAAGAGTTGGGATTGTAATGACAAAAACATCCCCTCTTACATTAATGCATTCTTTAGACCATTAATAGCACATCTGTGCCTCTAGATATTGCATATGCGTAGGCCCATATTTTGTACACATGCATATTCTTCATGTTGTACATATGATTATTTTACATATGTACATGTACATATGTTCATAAAACAGTAGGCAAAACGTGTGTGGAAGATGCTGTTGTTAACATTGAGAAATCTCTGCTATAAAATTAAATGCTTTGAATCTGAGCTAACAAGACCTTCCATTATTTTCCTACAGTTGTACTTTGTGCACAGTGCCCTATCTAGGTTAATGCCCTTTATGCATAAGCAAATAGTTTCTGTTTAACCTTTGCAGAGCACTTTGATCTTGGCTTAGTTTCCTGTTTTCTTTTTCAGGGTTTAGAGGACAAGTTAAAGTGATGACCATGTAAAGAACTGTCTGACTTTCATACAGAAGAATGTATAATACTGTATTCTCAGGTGTCTTTTTTAAAAACTAGCTTTTTCAAATCCATATGTTAAAACCCCGTAAAATTTATATTTGGGAGCAGAATTCAGGTTGATGTGGAAACAATGACACATTGGGCTTATAAAGCCATTCATATGAACTTTGGCATTAGCTTTACATTCTAGATTTTGACTTTTTGCAGGCATGAAAAATATTTGCCTTCTGTCCACTAGAAAAGAGGAAACAAGCCAAATACATATGCATGGCCGTGTTATGATCATAGCTGAACTCTTAAATATCCTCCATCTTCATTTAGACTGCTTGTGGAGCTATAATACATTTTTCTGAGAATTGTTGAATGAGATTCATGGTTATGATCAATATCTTTTTTCAATAAAATATCAGTATCACTCTCATCCAGCTATGCTGTACATAATAAAGAGCAGTATGTTATTTTTAAAACATATTTTATTTTAAACTTGACTGGAATACACTGAGTTGTATGAAATAGGTTGTTTTTTATACTAGGATGCTTTGGCATCATAAGCAAAACTTATATTGTGTACTTAAATAAAAAGAAGTATTTGAGAGATACTAAAATATTTAACCCCAAGCAAGTTTTATGAAGGATTTAGGTCATTTTTTAAAAAATAAAGCAAAAGCCCAGGTTTCAGAATATCAATATTCAGTAATACTTAATTCAGTGCATGCAACTCAGACTTCTAGATTAAATGTGTTTAGCTAATTAGGACCTGTGAGATCCATTTGAACATTACTTTTTTAATTTCTGCTTCTTGTCTTTACATCTCTCCTTTGTATGTTCCCATCATCCTCCCTTTTTCATGCACCAGGTAACAGCATGTTGCCTCAAAATAGAGCATTCAGATGAATTTGAGTACCCAATAACTTCTATGAAGTTGCATTTCCTTATGGTGTTATTACTCAGTGATGCATAAATGTGGTATTGCCCCTACTTGTAGGCAAATGAGGGGTCTGTATAAATATGGAAAATACCCTATTCACTTAAGGAGAGCCAAAGACTTGTGCTTTACTCTTGGTTTGATTGTTGTTGTTGTTTTGTTTTGTTTTGTTTTCTATTTTCTTCTATTCATTTTACTACAATAGCCAGTTTGGACTGAAAATCTTTTTATGTTTTCAAACCTAACCAGTGGTAAATAGATATAAAAATTCATGACTGACAAGTCTTACAAAATGCATTCTATGATGATGACTTATTAGCTCATTTCAGAAGTGCTATGTTAAGGATCATTACATTTACAGCCATTTACCTTAATTACTTTACCTTTTAAAAAGATGTGTGAATGTTATCCCAACACACTTAGATTTATAATGTACAAAAAGTGTTTTTAGAAGAAACATTGTTTATTTTCACTGTTTCTGCTTGAAATTTTCTATTGAACTATACTAGAAGTAAGTATAAGGAAACTTGAAAGAAACTGGAGAGAGATTCTGAAATAGCATCATCAATCTAAATATGTTTGCATAGTCAAGTTATGTAAGCTGTTTCTTTACATTTGGCTGTGGAAAATACGTTGCACTGTTGCTTGGAAACACAACAAATAGTAACCTATTGTCTGTTTTTCCAAACCTATACAGAAATTTCTCTGGATAGGAATCACAAAATACATCCACCATCTCAACAACATAATGTAATAGAAAAGCATTCTTTTTTCCTAATTCTGTCCGTTTGGTAAGCATGGACTTTATTAAAGCAAATACTCCCATAGAGAGCCTTCTCCAGTTATACTTCCTGCTTCCAATGTTACATTAATTATGATCTGCAAGTCTTGAATTATATTTGCAAGGATGTCATTTGACATTTTAGCTCCAGCCTCAGATCTCTCATCTGCTTTCAGATCTTGCTGTTATTATGAACAGGACATCTGCTTTACTGTACAGCAACTGGGGGAGGGGGGAGACAAGCAGTTGAAGAACTGAGTTGGAAGTCATGCAGCTGCCTGCTACTTATCCATTTCAAAATACTAAAAAGGATCGGCAAAAACTTCTCAAGGTTATAAAGACAATCCTGTCCAGATAAGCTATTTACCTTGTGTGTTTTGCTATCACACCTTGTGATGTCATTTACTAATATAAGTGAGAATTTTAATAGAATTTTCTTTAAAAAT